GATTGTAAAAGATCCATATTTTTGCCTATTCCAAAGAGAGGTGAGCCAACAGAATGCGTAAATCATCAAGTAGTATCATTAATATCATGAGTGAAAAAAATTTTGCTGAAGATAATTTAAAAACAGCTGCAACAGTACATCGACAGGAGGCGGCTAGAAATTCAAGTAGGATTAAGAAGGAAATGTGGAGTGAGGAATATCATTGCTGATGTATTCAGATGAATCTTGGCTGAAAGCAGAGAATACCAGAAAGATGTTTACATGTGCTTTATTGACTGCAAAGGCCTTCAACTGTGGATCATGGCAAGCTATGACTAACATTGCAAAGAATGGATATTACACAACACTTAATTATGATTATGAGGAACCTGTATATAATACCAAGAAGTAGTCATTCAAACAGAACAAGAAGATACTGAATGGTTTAAAATTAGGAAAGGTGTGGGACAGGGCTGTATTATTTCACCATACATATTTAGTTTGTCTGTTGATAACTCAAGAAGCTGGATTATATGAAGAAGAACATGGCATTAGGATTAGAGGAAGACTTTTTAAGAACCAGCAATATGCAGATGATACAACCTTGCTTGCTGAAAGCAAAGAGAATTTAAAATACTTACTGATGAAGATCAAAGACCACAGCCTTCAGTATGCGTTGTACCTCAGTGTAAAGAAAACAAAGATTCTTACAACTGAACTAATAAATAACATCATGATAAATGGAGAAAAGATTGAAGTTGTCAAGACGTCATTTTCCTTGGATCCACAATCAATACTCATGGAACAGCAGCCAAGAAATCAACCAATTTATTGCACTAGGCAAATCTGCTGCAGAAGACCTCTTTAAAGTGTTGAAGAGCAAAGATACCAGTTTGAGGATAAGGCGCATCTGACTCAAGCTATGGTATTTTCAGTAGCCTCGTAAGCATGTGAAAGTTGGACCATTTTTGTAGAAGAATTGATGCATTTGAGTTGTGTTGGTGATGAATAATGAAAGTACTGTGGACTTGCCTAAAAACAAATCTGGAAGAAATGTTGGAATACATGCAGTCAGAATGCTCCTTAGAAGCAAGGATGGCCAGACTTTGTCTCTCATACATCAGACCTGTTGTCGGGGGAACCAGACCCTGGAGAAGGACATCATGCTTGGTAAAGTGGAGGGTCATTGAAAAAGAGGAAGGCTCCAAGAAGATGGGTTGACACAGTGGCAACAGCAGTTGTGAGGGTGGTACCAGGACCGAGCAGCGTTTTCTTCTCTGGTACATATGACTGCTTTCAGTCAGAACTGACTAAACAACAACAACAACAACATCCAGTTCTTCTGGTGTTAGAGCAAAGGAGGTATTTCTTTATGGAGGCAGTTAGTCACACATTCCATATCCTTCTATTCTGGACTTTACGTCTTCTGTCATACTAGGAAAATAGAGACCAATTATTGTACCTTGTATGGCTGCTTTTAAGATCCTGTCACTATGCAGTGAACTAGGAGGTAGTAGAACAGAAGCACTAAAAACATTATTAGACCTATGAATTGGATGTTTAATGAAATTATGACCATAATCCTCCAAACCCAGGAACAAAAACCCATTATTTGTTTGTACATAATCAGTTCTCAGCAACTACACTTTCTTTTTGTTGTAAATATATCTATCACCCAACTTTGGCCAACTCAGTCTTCTATAGGTTTACTTTTTATTGACAGCAATTATAGTAATTGGTTATACAGCTGTACCCTTAATCAGTAGGATTTTCCGTCACGTATTATTTTTGCAGGCAGAAAAACTATTTTAAAATAGTCTTTTGGTTTTCTTTAAGTGGCTTTCTGACCGGAAGAAGAGAGCACTACAGAAGAAAGATGTTGGTGAGTGTACATAGTTTTTTCTCACTTTAGCTATGTAGTTATCTGTGTTATAATGCATTTGCTCAGTTACTATCATTTTTAAGTGAAGACTTATGAAATGAAAATGCATTGGATTAATACAGTGAAAAAGAAACACTTAT